GCCAAATGCGATGAGCATAAGAATCCATCTGAATAGACTCCCGTCCCTTCCCTTCCACACTTAAACTAAACAGGATAACGGAAACGGAAGCAGAGCAATGGGCGAGGGGTTGGCTGGTTGGTTGGTTGGTTGGTTGGTTGGTTGAGCGAAACCGCAACTAGGATGCCATGGAAAATGAGTGGAAAATTAACAAAAACGCCAACCGCGCATAGATAAAACATTGCACGTGAAGTGACTGACTCGGGGGCTGCACACAAGCCACTCGTAAATATGCAGGCAACCTGTCCTAACAGCTACCCTGAAAAGCCAGCCCCAATGTAAATATACAGCTGTCTGTCTTTTTGTCTGTCTGGCTGGCCAGGTTGGTTAGCCGCCAGCGTCGACCCTGACGCTTGGCAAATGCAAATAATACACAAATTTACTTAACGTTTAGTTTAGTTACGTTTTTTTTTTTTTTTTTACTTTCTGATAATACTTGACTTTATGCTGGCTACCATCTACTCGGGAGTTCGAACCCCAAACTTCACGCTAAGTTCATTTATTTTTCGTTGAAAGTGTGTTCTGTTCTAGAACGGGGGTTTGAACCGCAATCTTTGTGGTAAAGTTAGTTATTTTTATCGCTCAAAGCTTGGTTTCTTATTAGAAGGGGGTTCCAGTCCCGAACTTCGCGCTAAACTGTGTTTTTCGTTCTTGGACTGTTGGTTTTTTGGTTTAGTTTTTGGGCTAGTTGCAGTTCACTTGTTTAAGAACTACTTTTGGCTTGGCTGCCATTTTAAGGCAGGCTTCACTGTTTGCTCGAAGGACATTTTTTTTTTATTTTTTTGTCGATTGTGAATACTCTTCCCCTCTGCCCCCCCCCCCCCCCCCCCCCCCCCTCGACCAATGCCAAAGCTTATGCAAATGTTGTTTGCATTTTTTACTTGATATTTAACTTTTTATCGCTTCTGTTTTGTCTTTTCCTTTTAATTGTCGTTGTTGTTGTAGTTCTTATTGTTATTGTTGTTAGTCATGCAAAATTTATGGCTCTGCGTCAGTAGTGGGCGTGGCCTGTCACCAACAGCAGCAGTATTTTAAATGAATTCTATTGATTGGCCAGACCCGGAGTGCAGACCAGTTTATAATGGCCGTCATATAAGGTCGAAGGTCAGCATAACTTGCCACGAGGAGGAGGGTGGGATTGGTTTAGGGAAGTCGAGCTGCAAGCGAATGGAAAAAGCTTTTTGAAAATTTACTCATGGAAAAAGTGGCTAGTTAGCATATTGATTTGCATTCGATCAGCAAGTGAATGGGAAAAGGCAATGATCTGTCTTAAGTTGGTTGCATAATTTATCCAAACAAAGCAAAGTTTATCTTCTGAATACACGAGTTTAACTATTAGAGAATTCCTAGAAATCAATTGCAGCAATATCCAACAGACCAGTGGAATATTCATAAATATTTTACTTGCAGGAAATTCTTGGAAGTCAGTTAATGTGAAATCTGCGAAAAGTCAAGAGGATATACACAATGGAATAATGCATTTAAGCCAAGTCCTTCTGCTCTTCGTGCAACTTTGAATGTTTGCAATTTAGATAGAGATTCAAGTAAGCTCTGTGGAATTTGCTAAGCAAAAAAACACTTTCCAGCGATTGGGCATTATGATTTTACAAAATATTTGTGGAAGCTAAAAGAAAAAATGTATATTAATACTGGTTGAATAAGTTTTTCAGCGATTTCGGGAATTTCACCAACAACCGTGGAAAATTTGCGGTTAGTAATTCTATACAACTGTTTTGATTAACTTCCAGCTCATTTTGATTCTGAATTAGATGCACTGCAAACTCAGATTCAAACGTCAATGTAAATATATTCTCGGGACGTGAAGTTGAGGGTAGTAACCGGGGATTTCAATTTCTCAGCTGCTGGAAATTATTACCAAAAAAACGAACTGTGAAATATAGTATCAATTGCAGTGATACTTAGCAATTGAATCATGTATTCGACATTGGCTGGTATCGAAAATAAACTAACAAATATACAAGTATATAAAGCAGGTCTAATTAACCATTATATTTGAAACACTCCACTAAAATGCTATGTCAACTTACCAAGCCGAAAAAAAAACTTCAAACAACCAGTGGCCACAGACACAAGCTGCAACACAGTCGAGAAAAAAACAAGCAAACAGAAATATGGCGCCGCCTATGGCCACATTTCAGTGTGGCATGTTCATTATACGACAGCCAAAGAGATGGTCTCTGTGTGTCCGGTCCTAATTTACACGCCCACATAATGTGGCAAACGGCAGCGAATGCCAACAGATGCTGCAACTACCGACTGCCTGGCTGGCTAGCCAACTGGCTGGCTGTGCCGCCAAGTTCATTCATCTTGGCATTCATTGATGGCAACTTTTGCTGGGGCAGACTGCTGCTGGACTTGGTTGCAGCTTTATATGTTTGTGGCAAAAACAGAGAGAGAGAGAGAGAGAGAGAGAGAGAGAGAGAGAGAGAGAGAGAGAGATAGAGAGATAGAGAATGGGGCAGAAAAAGAGCTGAGTGCTGCAAGCGACGCCAACGCTATGCAGCAGACGCCGCAGCCTGCCGTCTCGCCCACCTGCCGTCTCGGCATGCAAACGCAATGCAAACAACAAGAACAAGAACAACAACAACAACAACAAGCAGATAAATCCAAGGGACAGCCCACAGTCAAAAGTTTGTCCAGCAACAACAACAACAACAACAGAATATGACAGTGGGCAATTTGGCTGCCGTCTGAGTTATTGTGGCTTTGGCCACTCCAGCCGTTTGTTGTTGTTGTTGTCGTTGTCGTTGACACTTGCAACATTGCCGTCATAGCAAGAGGAACAAGCGGGTGTGTGCGGCGGGTTTGCATGTCGCACAGCTGGCAGATTTTCTGCAGTTTGTCGGCCTTTTGAAGTTGCTGCGTCCGTTGTCTGACGACCCAGCTGGCTGGCTGGCTGGCCGGGGCAAATTGCACGACAACGTTGCCGCCGCGCTGTCTGCGACAGCAAAAGAAACAACAACAGCAGCAACTACGGCAAACTGACAACAACGAACCGACGCGCACAACGTTTAATTTCATTTTTATTCAAAGTGAAATATAAAAATTAAAAATGGCATTTAACGCGCGCGCAACTTTGTCGACTGTCATAAAGCGAGACATGTGACTGCCTAGCTGGGCGCAGGGGCTTGGCTGCTAAGAGGGGTTGGGGTTCTGCAGCAGGTGTTGCAGCTTTCATTTGATGTGGCCAATATGGGTGGGGGTGGGTTGGGGTGGTCAGGCGTGGGCGTTGACTTCTGCTTTGCTAGCTTTGACGCCGCGCGCTTGTGCATCATAAATGTTTGATGTTGTTGCTGCTGCTGCTTGTTGTTGTTGTTGTTTGTTGCTTGTGTCAGTTATGCGTTTTGAGCTTGACAGCTTTGACTGAGGCAATTAGAGCTGCCACACGGCGCTGGCATAAGCCATCAAACGGGTTATTATGTATACGACCCCTGCAACAAGCTTTAAGCCGGGAAAAAAGGTTTCAAGCCGGACAGACGCTAAAAAACCAACAGATAGCTTATGCAGAAAAAATTTAAGGAATGGCAAATAATAATTGCTAGGAAAAACTGCTTGGAATTCAAAGAACTGTAGCTTCAAATTGTACACATAAAATATTACGCATACGCCAGGTAACACAGCTTGAAGGCAGACCTTAGACCTGCGTGTGTCCTAAGACAATAGATGTATATAAACTACAATTTTCTTTACTTTTGTGCATACGTCAAGTCAGCCTTGATGAGGATCATACTTTCTATAAATTTCTGCTTTGAAATATTAGGCATACCACAGGTATGAGCCCAAAAGATTGCAGGTAACCGTTGATAAAGTAGAAAGAAATTTTATTTAAATAAATATTACGTATACGCCATATAGAGCGTGCTGCGCGTTTTATTTTGCTAGAACTTGGGCATTGTGCGAAAAGTCTAAGTATAATATAAATCATACGCCAGGTGGCGCCACAGCATTTGACCAGAAATTACGTATGCGCAGCGTTAGCTACGCATAACAGTATATATATATATATGCATAATGTGAGAATATATTTAAAATGTATTTCACTCGAAATGCTTGGCTATATAATATAAAATTAAAAGCTGACAACTAAAAAATAATAAGAAAATGATATTAATAACATAATAAAAAAACACAAATTATAAATATTAAAATGAGTGTGTTTTGAATATTTGAAGACATTTTTGTGTTAAATCAAAAAAATATATAAACAATATTTAAATATTGTGTTAAATTAAAATAAAAATATAAAATTTTTAAATAAATTTGTGTAAAATCAAAATAAAAATATAAATTTGTCGAAATTCAGAATAAAAATAGCAAATAAATATATAAAGCCTGATATCTTAAATATTCAATTGTTACGGTAAATCTCAATAAAATTACGCATACGCCTTGTCGTACATGATGTTTATATATGCTTTTATGTTATTTTGACACCTGCAGTACACGCGTACACACCCATAAAACTGAGTGTCAAAGTTTAATCGCTTAATAAATTTTAATCTAAATTAAAATATGTTCGTGTGTGTGTATGTGTGTGTGTGTTTGTGTGGGTGTGGCAATTGAAAAAAGTTTACAAAAGTTGTATGCGCTGCCTAAAAGTTTTACGGAAACTAAAAAAAAACTAATATAAAGCCAACTAATTGGCAAAATAGAGTTATATATATATAGAGTTATATATATATATATATATATATATAATTATATATGCATACATATTTTCACAACTCTCTCCACATGTGGGCAATAAAAAGCAAGTGTATGTGTGTGTATGTGAGTGTGCGGTTGAGAGAGTGTGTGTAAACAGTGTTTATTATGGGGCATATGCAAATGTTGTTCAGTGTACTCATGATAGAGAGATATAGTTGTATAGTATACTATGTAGGGTGCATAGGTACACTTATAGATTAATAAGTAAAAAGTAGTAAAAAATGTGAACGCACTTGGTTGAATCTCACCTGTGCTCAGGGTATAATCCCAGCTGGTGTCTGTCTCATTCTTATAAACATTCAATTTCTCCGGCTAGAATATATGTATATATATATATATATTATATATAACAAGATATAGCTCCCGCACTGATTTTACGGGCTCACTTACCTTAGCAAAATCAATTTTTAGAGTGCAGCATCCGGCATAGATGTCGGCACCATTGAGATTCTCGCGTGCACGCGTAGCCGCATCGAGGCTATCAAATTCAACCATAGCCTGTACGCCGTTCTTTTTGAAGATGACAATGCGCAGCACTTGTCCATGTGGATTGCAAATTTTATGCAAGACATCCTGCAGAAAACACAAAAAAAAATAAGAATAAAATCAGAGATTGAAGCCATGAGTTAACAACAAATTGAAAGCCTCTGCGCGCTGGCTGCAAATTAAGCGACATTCTGCAAACCCAACTGACATACGCAGGCCATATACAACTCAACCAAAAATATCCACAAAAACAGCCCCCGAAAAGCTGGCAACGACCGTTTTTGCCGTCCCACTCCCGCATTGTCCTGACTAATTAATAAACGAGCAGTGCACACAACAGAAGCAGCACACAGAAAACAAAAACAAAAAACCCAAAATAGCAATGAATGCAGTCACCAACACACACACGCTCAGATTCACCACAAGCACACATATCATACACACACATGCAATGACTGACATTCCGGCCTGACCAATTTTCAGTCTGACTTTATACCCTAGCAATGAATCAAGCGCAAGGCAGCTATATCTATGAGTCTATGCCATCCATTCGAGTATAATGTATTTATATTTTTAAAATTTACTAGCGGATATTGCAAATAATATTTTAGATAGTACATTTTGTACACTTTCGTGCATAATTGAAATATGTTCGTACCATCTTGATTTTCGCTTATTTTTAACAAATATTTAATGTGGATCGATTATAGAAGCGCGTATAAACGATTTCCGCCCATGTCTTGTGGTGAGAATTTTGAGCCTTTGAACCGCATTTTCATAAAAAATTGAGGAACTTTACGGAAACGTATAAAATAAATTCTCACTAATATCTTTTAAAATGTGTTTAAAACCTTTAAACAAAAAGTTGCAAGTCTTTTGTCAAATTTCCACACTTGCGCTTGGTTAGTTTTTCGATCGGATGAAACTTAAATGCACTCAAAAATAACTTGAGCAGCATTTTCCACCGAGAAAGACCAACCACTGTAAATCATTAAGTATCTCGGATAGTTATTTGATGGCGAAACTTCACCCACCAAATCTTCCAGCCCGATTTATATATTTGAACAAAGATCTTTGAAAATAAGTTTGAGGCCAATCGGTTGGTAAGCGTAAAAGTTTCGTACTAACGTTTTTCGTGATTTTTCCACACTCGCGGATGGAATTTCTCAAAACCCCGTCTTAGAGTGCAGCTAAATATATACATAAATTAATATTTATATATTTAGCTTTCAAATAAAAATAATAATAACGACAAAATATGCAGCGTATTTGAACCTCAGCCATCTGTAGTTAACTGCTTTTTGCGTGCTTTTCTTTTGCTGATGATGATAATTGGAATTTTTCGTTTGGCTGGTTTACAGTTTTGGGCCGCCCGAAAATTGTTCTCGGCATTTCGCTGACAGTTGGCGCAGCAAAACTCATTAGCATAATTTAATAAGCAGTTATTGTCTAGGGCCAAGTGCGAGAATTTCAGACAAGAGCCGAAAAGTACATTTTCCAATTAACATTTATAAATTTTCGAAAATTACGTTAATGAGTTTTCCAGCAGCCCGCCAGGCAGCAACGTGTCTTAAGGCTTTACAACAAAATACATCATTATATATTATATATTTATATGTATATAGAGGGAGGAGGGTGAGTTTATGTGAATTTATGGCAAATTATAATGAGTCGTTCTTGCCATGGTAATTTATGTTAAATTTAACCTGCAAAATTTTCGTCTTCGTCTCAATTCGTTGCTTTTCTATTTATTTCATTTAAGAGCCCAGAATATTCAAGAGGATTTTGGTCTGTAATGGGTTAAACGTTCAATTTGTACAAGTTTCCGTCAAGGGGGCGGGGTGGGTCACTGATTGTCTTTTGGCCAAGTGCTGGGCGCATAAATCTTGTTGAAAGTTGTAGCTAAATATATATTTTGTTATTCATGAAATTCATCGATAAGTTGGCGCAACAAATTTTGCGCTCTTGTTGAAAATGTTTGCACAGATTTTCCAATAAGCAGCCCGGGGAGTTGGGGCCTGGGGAGTTATAGGGATAGGGGCTGTTGGCATGGCTCTGGCAGTAATTGACAGCCAAAGAATGGTTGGGCGTTGCGATTGGAAGCTTGATTAAGTGGCTTATAAAGGCACTGCGCAGCCTATAGAAATATTTTTGTTGTTTGTGTTTGCTTTTTGGTTTTATGTGGGCTTAGCGCAAAGTGAAGATTAAAAGCAGCCTTGAGTGGGTCTACGGGTGGGAATTCGTCGTTTGTACGTACTCAATTTGTTGCTTGAAAAGTGGGCTGAAATTTATTTTACAATAACACAGTTTGGCATAGACTTATCACTGAATTATTAATAACAAGCGGCTAAATTTTTATTTATACCTCAGTTTTGCACATACTTTAACCTGATCAAAAATCAATTAAAATCAGCAGCAATTGCAAATTAGCAGAATTCATAGAACTCTTAATATTATATAGCCAGCTAGTTAATAGAACTTTCAGCCCAGCCTTAAGATATGTATTTAAGCTTCGCTTTAAGAGCTCCTGGCCACTTGCCAGTTCACTTGTTGGCATTCCACAGACATTCCAATTGTTTTGGAGCGTTTGCCATGCCAACGGCATTTGCTTATGCATTAATTAGCACACACAGCCACACACACGCAAAGAGAGAGAGAGCACTTCAGTCATGCTTAATCCTCTCCAATTACCAAGAAACAATGGTGGAGCAGTAAATACGCTTAAGTTACAGAACTGACATTGGCCATACTGATGGGATAATCAGGCGGAGGACAGTCCATTAACTGCGGCAAAAGGTCGCTGCGAGAAATACTTTTAGCCAAAGGCACGCGCCAGCATCCATTCATTCATTCAGTCACTCTTTCAATTCGCTGCGCGCTCATTAACCAGACTCATTTAATTCTTTTGCTACTTTAGCACTTTTCTCAGTTGCTCAATGATTGCGACATTTACAATAATTGCGCACATTTTCGAGCATCATCCGGGGGGCCACCCACATGTCCAGCTGCCGAGCGGCAGGTCTAGACTTGGCAACTTGGCGTCTGCTCCACGCAAATTGTAATAAACGCAGGGAAAAATTGTGAAACTTGCCACTGGCTACTGGCTATTGCTGCCCCAGCAGCAGCAGCAGCTACGTGCAACCACTTGCAACAACGCCAAGAAGTGAAATGCATAACTATAAAGCGCACTGTGCACAAAAACTAATTAGAAAAGTTCTGTGGTAAGGACTGGGGGCTGTTAGAGAGCGAAAACTTGTTTTTCTTCCAATGAAACAAGCTGTGGACATCACCAGCTGGAAAGTGTTAGCTCAGCGTGTGTGTATGTGTATCTGTGAGTGTCTATCTGTGTGTGTGTATCTGTGTATATCTGTTTGTGTCTGCTTGAGTGTGTGCAAAGCGATGAGCGGGCATTATTAATAATTAAGTAATAGAACACACACTTTAATATGCTCGCTAAGTGTGTGGGTGTGTGTCTATGTGGGCGTGTATGTGTGCTAGTGCGTGTGTGCGACTTAATGAAAATGTGGCTCATAAAATAGCGACAAGCTGCGAAAAACCTAGGGCCATAATGTGGTCTGACTTTCAAACAACTAAACAGCTGCGATAAAAATATACCAGACAAAAAAAAAGAGCTGCTGAATATATAACAATAGTTGTCAGGAAAAGTAAGGTATAATTTTCAAAGAGGAGAGCATTAAAAGCTTTTAAAATACAAATCAATTTAGTTTATTATCAATTAAAATCAATATCAAAATTTTATAGAACAATTTGTTAGATTATGGCAAATAAATTTCCAAAAACGGAAATTGTAAAAGCCAAGCTGAAAGAATCGCTGAAGTTGATGCAAGTGTATTTAATTTGTTGAACACCTAAATCATTTCTGCGTTTTTTATTTACAGAGTGATTATTTATTACCAATCTCTCGCCAGTAGCTGCCCATAAATTAAACGCAATATCAAAACAAAAAATTCATAGAAATGGGCAAACACAGAAAAGGGAATGGAAAACATTTTCAATTTCCATAAAACGAGGCTAAACAAAATATAAACACACTCAATTGCAAATGTTCTTCAATAGTTAAGGGACCGAAAACTTCTGTGACCCACTGTCAAGCTGTGGGCGAATACAAAAAAATAAAACAAAAGGAAAAGTTGAGCACGAGCCACGCGCTGAAATTAATAAACACAGAACATGAGCAAATCAAAAGGCGTTGAAATAAAAGAACAAAAAAATAAGAAAAACGCGGAAAAATATAAGCGAAAGCGCAAATAAAGCGCGTGAAAATTAAAATGAAAATATTAATAACACCCAGTACGAATAGAAAGAAAGAGACAGCTAGATAGTGTGTGTGTGAGAGAGAGAGAGGGGGCAGAGCTGTGGCAAACACGAAACAGTTATTTAAAATTAAGTGCTCTCTGTGGCGCGCAGGATAAATACGTACAATTTTATGAGGCACTATAACTGCGTTGCAATAGCCGCAAGGATACGACGAGGGAGTGTGACCGCAGCAGCAGCAGAAGAAGCACGCAAAATATATATATACAAAAAACATACAAAAATAAATTAATATTTTATCTAGCGCAGAGATTCCACATGCAATGCCAGGACCACGCCCCGGGCACCCCACCCTCTTTCTGTGCCGCCCACATGCATTTTGTTTGGCCATTTTATGGCCATCATCAAAAGCGCATTAAATTTTTACTAAGGCAACAGCCCCCGTCGACCTCAGCCCACATGCGCACCCATGGTCAAGCACGACCTCGCCCCCCACCCTAGCCCCAGAGCTCTGTATCCAGGCGTGCTAAATATTAAATCAACCACAACGGCAAGGAACATGCAAACGCAGGTGAGGGGCGGGGCTTTAGTGCAACCAGCTCGTGTAGCCAAGCGGCAGGCAAACAATTTAAGCCGCTTTACCAGGTTCGTCAACGTCCAGTGGTAAGCCCCGCCCCCGCGCCCACCCTTTGCCCACATTTCATATTATTGTTTGGTTCTGATAAAAATGCCGCCTCATAAAATGTCCAGATTCTACGTCTTCTCTTCATTTTGTTGTCTTTTATTTTGGGCAAGCGCATTAAATATTAATA